CAGGTGTAATGTTGTCACTACTGGAGGTGAAACATTGTCATTGTTTAAAGAGGGAGGATACTTACACACTTCATAAACCAGCAAGAAGACTTTTTCCCAGAAATAGAGTTTTGATTAGTGGAATCGACAAACAGTTTGAGGCTGATTTGGCTGATATAGGTGAATATTGTGCAGATAATGATAATGTGAGACACTTACTGACATGTACAGATGGATGAAACCACAGCCACTGTGCAGCAGGCACACACTGTTCTGTACTTAAATCCATCACAGTGCAGCAAACTAACCTGTTTATCCTGCACTAACATGCACCTTTTAAATAAACCAGTGAGACTGAAAGGAACTTTTAAAGAACACCGATCACATGACCTGTTTAATTTTGCCTCATTTATTTTCTGGTGAGAAACGCCCCCTGTTGGCTAATGCTCAACTTATCTGTGAGGTCTGATGAAATGAAAATCTATTACACTGATATTTAGTTTTTATCTTGCAGGTCAGTGAGTGAAATGCACCCGGTAAAATCAACAGAAAAAACTTCACGTTCTTCCAAGTTCTTAGAGAGGAGCTCATGGTTCGTAGAGACAGCTGCCAGAGACGGAGAAACGCAAGGACAGGTACAGATAAACTCAGCCTGAAAACATCTAAACATGTTACTGGAGTAACAAAACAACACACTTCACTCTGATGTCAACAGACAATTTTACATCTTGTAGCTGAAAGTGTGCACAGAATAATGATCATGATTTGGATCATAGATGAACATTAACTCTTCATGTGCTGGTGAGCTGCACTGAAACTGTGGCTGGGTAGACTCTGTCAAGGGTCAAGTGTCTGTTATTGTCATTACCATGTGCAGTCGTACAGTACAGAGTGAAATGACAGCTTTCCTCCGAGGCCCTGGTGCTACATATGACATATAATAGAAAAACATGGGACTACGTAAAGTGCAATGTGCAAAAAATTGCAAAGAAAACAAGACAAGACAGTGCAACACTAGACAGAACAGGGCGACACAGACACAAGACAATGCAATGGAAATGTGTGTGTGTGTGTGTGTGTGTGTGTGTCAGTCCAGTCACTGAGTGTTCAGGAGTCTGACGGCTTGGGCGAAAAAACTGTTCCATACTCTGGGAGTGAGGGCCCGAATGCTCCGGTATCTCTTTCCAGAAGGCAGCAGGGTGAAAAGTGTGTGTGGGTCCTCCATAGTGCTGGTGGCGTTGCAGATGAAGCGGGTGCTGAAAGTGTCCTTGGTGGAGGGAAGAGAGGCTCCAATGATCTTCTCAGCTGCTCTCACTATCCATTGTAGGGTATTGCAATCTGATATGGTGCAGTTACCACACCAGGCAGTGATGCAGCTGCTCAGGATGCTCTCGACAGTCCCTCTCTAGAAGGTGGTAAGAATGGAGGATGGCAGATGGGCCTTCCTCTGCCTACGCAGGAAGTAGACACGCTGCTGGGCTTTTTGGTTATGGAGCTGGTGTTGAGGAACCAGGAGTGGTTCTCCACCAGGTAGAGACCAAGGAATCTGGTGCTCTTGACAACCTCATCAATAGATCCACAGAGATCTCTCCGTGCTCTGAAGTCAACAATCATCTCTTTTGTTTTGTCCACATTCAGAGACAGGTTGTCAACTCTGAGATGAGTTTGAATCCCTGTGATCTTGACCTCAAGTTCAGAGTCAACTTTTCTGAGATCACCTGTGATTTTCACATTTACCAGAAGTGCAGCTGCTGAGAGGCTGAGGGGTAGCCGCCAAAATGTTTTAGAAGATGAAAAAGTTCATGTGAGACAAAATTCACTTTATGAACTCCAAATAAAGCTCAACAACAGATTTGTTCCAGTTCTCAGTGTGTCTGCTCCTCTCTTTCCCTCTCTGTCTCCTCAACAGGATCATTTGTAGTCAATGTGACACAGACCTGCTATCAGGCAGAGGAGAACCACAACATCACACTGGAGTGGACATTCACCACCAAACCTGACACATTTATCCTCCTGAGAAGCAGCATTTATGTCCTCTGCAATGGACATTTGTTTTAAGTCTATATCTTTTGACTTATTTTAGCTAAGTCCTCATGTACTAAATAGAGGACGTCCTGGCACTTCCATTGATATGTTGTGTGTTTAGGTGGCCTCTTTTAGATTCAAACAGAAAGGAAATAATAAAAAGTTCATTTTTTCTCAGACTCACTTTGACAAAAGAGCTGAAGCCATGATCAGTGCTCATCTGACACAGGTCCAGTCCCGAGTCATCAGTCCTGAGTCTGAACAGCTGAAGTCTTATTCGTCCTTCCTGAGACTCTGACAGCTCAACTCCTTCATGAACATGATAGGTGTTGAGGTGAATACGTTGTGTTAAATGAAACCAGATTTCTGCCCAAACAAATTGTCATGGACATAATACAGGACAGAGATTTTTTGATCAGTTATCTCTCCACAGAAGATAAAAATATAATTCCAGGATCTG